TCACAAACCCTGTAAAATCCCTGTAAATGTTTTTGTCAAACCCTGTAAAATCAATGTAAATGGTTTTCACAAGCCCTGTAAAATCGCTGTAAATGGTTTTCACAAATCCTGTAAATTTGTTGTCACAAACCCTGTAATATTTTAACAAACCACACTGATTATTGTAAAATCTCTTTAATACAAATCCTGCAAAATGTCATAGATGCTATAATGTATTTCATTAGATACTAATAACATAATTTGTTCTTTTCTTTTTAATCATCGAAATATCATGTAAATATCTAGACCATTACTTCAAAAAAAGTCCAAAGCATTATCAAACATTTAGCTTCAAATTATTGTATTTGATTACATCTTTTTTGTTGATCCGCACTACACGAGAACCATACAATGCCTTGCCCAATGTTACAAGGATCTCGTTTTTTTTTTGTCGTTTTTTCTATTTTTATCTTTTTTTCTTTGCATATTTTTTTAAGTTTATCCACTGACACGTGAGCCATTTTTCCAATCTTTAAGTAGAACGGGGCCACGACAATGGCAGATTCTCTGGTCATCTAGGTAGAAAGAAAAACATTTCATCATTTTTTTCTTCTTTTTTTCTGGCATAAAGATTCTGGAAGTTAAACCAAACAATATGTCATTGGTGGCAATATATGTCACCATGTAAAAACAAATTTGCTTAATACTTGTAGCAGAATGAGGATTGAGTCAAAATTGAAAATCAAATGAATGAAAATATGTTACATTCTCTGTCAATCTGTTTGTGTGAATCAGTGTTTAAGCTACAACATGAAAAGTACAAGCACCGAATATTCTTCATAAATTCAAAAGGAATGCATGCACTAGCCCTATTGATTCTGTGGAGTTATTCTGTAGTTATTTTTTATGCATGATAGCTCTCTTGAAATGTCTTAATCAATGCACCACTGAGGATTGATTTTGTGTGAGCAAACAATTGCATTGACATCTTTGAATCTTGGAAAATGGATTTTTGCTCAGTTTCATTATACATATTTTCAACCAGGGTATTCTTCGATAAAAGGTAATGTTCATCCAGAAAGTCATCAAAAAACGTGGAAACGATTTCTTTTGCCTGAATATGGGTTTGAATGCATGAATTGGTTTCTTGGTCTATACATTCAAACAGTTTTGCACCAGACTTTCCACCTCTTCCAAATTTGTTCGGCAGTTTCTTAATAGCATTTGCTGTTTTTGTTTTCAACTTATCAAAATTGCCATCTTCAAGAATCCTGTTATAAAATGATTGTAATTCTTGCAAAATACGACCATCTTCATCTGCAGTATTGACATTGTTGTTTGTAATTGAGACAGAAAAGAAAAGGGAAAAAAATAAGATTTTTTTGTTATTCAGTTTCCTAAAAACATTACTGTTGTAACTTGGAAACTCTAGTTTTAATATCTTAATGAACACTCAAAATATAACAACATGGCGGACACTCCACGAGGTCGCCCGGCGATGAGCATGCGTCATAGCGACACAACGGGCGGAAGTGAATACTTCCGGAGGTGAAACTATAACAATTGCTATTTTGACGCTTTTATAGACACCCAATTCAAAGTTTTTGCCGTAATCGCCACACAATAGTTCACACTCCTAGACTCTGAATTGTCATTATTTTTGCAATCATAGCAGACAAACACCACATTGCGCTCACTGCTGATTCTTGGGTTAGTAAGAAAAATTTGTATATGGGACATTTGGAACAAAAAGCCTTTAATCACAAGATCACAGTGAGAAACACATGCGCCACGTGGCACAGGAAAGGGCATGTTCAATGAGCCATTTTGTTGCATTTCTTAACATATTCATGCAGGGCACCACTATACGACACACTGGATTTGTTTATTTTCATTTGCGTTGAAATGCGACTATGGCACATGGCGTGGGCATTTCCCATCCCTGCTTATCTGATTAATCACACATTCTTTCATCTCTGCTCAAATGTCATGAATGAAATTATGGTTTTGACTGACATTCTTGGAATTAGGTGTTATACACAGCTAAAAACAAATACTTTGCAATTTGCATTTCTTAACCATATTCATGCAGGGCACTATACGACACACTGGATTTGTTTATTTTGATTTTTGGGCATAACTGCCACAAATAGAAATGGATTCTGTAGGCTTTCTGACCTTCTTGTAAATTCTTCATTTTTTGTGATCCACAAAGTTCATCAATGACCGCGGTGCATCACAATAAGTGACCGTGGGTCTTTAATAAATGGATAATAATGATGGCTTGTCATTGATACTTACCACACCAATTTCCAATAACTTTAGATTATTGGCATGAATGTTTTCATTTCTTTTTTGCTCAAAAGCAGATTGTTCAGCCTAAAAAAGATAGTAACAAAGGTTATGGCAATTGTCAAAATAATAACAATAACCATATGTAATTAATAATGCAATAACAATATCATAATAATGTGACCAGTTACACTAATATACTGTGTGATCTAAATGTTGGAAATGATCACATGGTTATTCAAGACGTCTACTCATTAATTCAGAGGACTCAGGTAAAAGCAGGCACAGATAACATCTTTCAATGTCACCTCTGTCACCATTACATTTTTAATTTCTAACTGATGTAATATTGCACACATAGATTTGATAATTGCTTACAATAAGCAATAACATGTAACTGTATGAGCTTAATTTCATATGCATCATAGCTTTCACTAAACATTAAATGAGAACTAAAGCTTTTGAGACACCTCATATTCTTCCATCCTCTCCTCATCTTTATTCTATAAAACAGTAAATTATATATAAGCCAAGTTGTCTCATTCAAGGGTAGCAAACAAATTATTGTTCATGCAATATCTGTCTATTCAGAAACTGTTTTTGCTGTTTCCTTGATGATCCTCACACGAAAACTTGGTTGTTGACTCATAAGCTCAATCTTTTTATATCAGCTTAACTTTCCTTCTCAGGAACCTATCCTATTCGATGCTTTACGTCAGMCCTTAACCAGCAAAATACTCCCAATCCATATCAGCTTCCATAAGCAAGCTTTTTTCTGAATTCAAACACTTCTTCTGACAATCGTCGAGACTCAAAAGCATTCGTTACTACTTCTTTGGTTGATAAAAAAAACTTGGAAGGTGTCTTTGACACAGCGTACGTCTTTCTCGTCCTCTTGCTGACTTTTTCAACATCCACAAGAAATCCGCCATTTTGTTCGTTACCAGTCCTTTCAAGCTTTCAAGTACACTTCCCGTAAAAGTCTCAAGACGTCCCGAATCCCGCGAGTATGACTATGGCGGAAAGAGTGTTAAAAGAGGTTTCAAAGGACCTTTTGATTTCTTGCCTCGTACGAAACCGTAGGGAGAATTGTCCTATCGGCAATGCAGCTAGTGATCCACTCCATCGAAACTGATACAGTTTGATCTGGAGGTCCGGGCAATTTCATGCTCTGCAAGCCCTCTTCAAAGGTCACGTCACCCCATTTGTCGGCTGCGACTACTCCTCCAAACTTGAGAAATTTTTCTCGTTGTAACTTACTGTCCTTACCGACGAAGAACATCCTATCTTTTATATTATCCAAACCCACCCCTCCCTCTCTACCAATATTTGGAAGACCTACAACAAAGAGAATCTGGGGCGAGAAGTCGTAATTACAACCACAGTACCTTGCGCGCCAAAATATTTCCAAATGGCGAATGTTATACTGTTTTGTGAATGGCTTTTCGGATGGTTTGTTTTCTTTGAATTGCACAGCGTATTACAATAGTCAGTGTAATAACACCACTAAAATGGAGGAGAT